CAGGCAGGCAGGCAGGCAGGCAGCTCCAGGCGCGTCCCCGTGCGCGCGCCGCCGCCGCCGCCGCCGCCGCGTCCCCGCCCTGCCCAGCCAGCGGAGCCGCATCTGCAGGAGGACGAGCGCAGCCGGGCAGCGGAGGCACAAAGACCCCCCCCCCGGGGATCCCCACGGCTCCTCCCCCCACCCCTCGCCCCCCACCCGGTGGCCAGCGGAATGGGAGAAGGCGCTGGGGGGGAATGGGACAGTTCTAGCTCATTCTTTCAAAGGATTTGTTCTAAAAAGCACATCTGGTGACTTTGGCGTTTCGTTCTGTCCCTCCTTTTCCATCCTTTCTTTCATGGTTCTATTCCTCTGAATCTTTGACGTGGGCGCCCCTCTTGTCCTGCAGCGAGTTGGCCACAGCGAGTTGGCCATGGTGTGTTGCCCATTGCAAGTTGGCCATGGTGTGTTGGCTGTTGCTAGTTGGCCAATTGCAAGTTGGCCATTGTCAATTGGCCATGGTGTGTTGGCTGTTGCTAGTTGGCCATTGCAAGTTGGCCGTTGTCAATTGGCCATTGTGAGTTGGCCATCATGTGTTGGCTGTTGCTAGTTGGCCATTGCAAGTTGGCCATTGTCAATTGGCCATTGTGAGTTGGCCATCGTGTGTTGGCTGTTGCTAGTTGGCCAATTGCAAGTTGGCCATGGCGAGTCAGCTGTTGCAAGTTGGCCATTACAAGTTGGCCATGGCGAGATAGCCTTGCAAGTTGGCTGTAGCAATCTGGCTGTGGCCAATTGTCATAGACCCGGTCCCCAGCGCATGCTGCTCACCTTCTCTGCAGAGGAAGGAGGTGAGCCACATTGGCAGCAGCTGCTGGGCACTAGATGAGGGAAGATGGGAAGCTGGTGACCCTAGGAAGGACTTCGTCTCAGGATGCCACCGAAGAACTGCCTGGGGACATGAGGGCAAGGCCATGGCAGTCTGCCTTGGCTGAGCTGGCACCCCTGACTTAGGAGACAGCCTTGATGCCTGAACTCTTGGGAATAAGAGACTTCTGGGGTCAAGGGGGCAAGGAGCCCACCCAGATGTGGCTGGGAATCGGCATGAAACTTCGGTGGAGGAAGGGTGGGTGGGTAGGAAGGAAGGAAGGAAGGAAGATGGGAGAGAAGGAGGGTAGGTGGGTGGGAAGAAGGAAGGAAGGAAGGAAGGAAGGAGGAAGGAAGATGGGAGGGAGGGTAGGTGGGTGGGAAGAAGGAAGGAAGGAAAGAAGGAAGGAAGGAGGAAGGAAGGAAGATGGGAGGGAGGGTAGGTGGGTAGGAAGAAGGAAGGAAGGAAAGAAGGAAGGAAGGAGGAAGGAAGGAAGATGGGAGGGAGGGTAGGTGGGTAGGAAGAAGGAAGGAAGGAAAGAAGGAAGGAAGGAGNGGCAAGCCACTCCCACAAAGGAGGCCACACCCACAGAGTAGGTTTGAAAAAAAATTGAAACCCACCACTGGAGCCCCCTCTGCTCCTGCCATTGCCACCCATCTCTGTTGGGTGGGCTGTGACTCTCCCAAGCTCCGTTTTTTCTGGTGGAGTGTTGCAGGATGCTGTCACAGCCGAAAATGGAACTTGAGAGTCTGTTTACACTGGCAGAGCACTTGGGCCACCATAGATGCTCCCGATATGAGTGATGTCAGGCTGGTCAAGGCCACCTGGCCACACCCACCCTGGCCATGTCCACCCTGGCACCCATGTGGTCAAACACAACCCTGATGTGGCCCTCAATGAAATTGAGTTTGATACTCTGCTTGTGCAAGGGGTTGAAGTAGAAGACCTCTACAAGTCCCTTCCAACTCTCTTATTCTGTTATTCTCCCCAGAAGCTAAACTTTATTTTTATAGTTAGTGATTTGTAGCAGCAGCGGAAACTTAACCTCTCTCGGCTAGAAGTTTGGATTGGCACACGGTTTCTCGGGTGTCTAAAGCTGTTGAAATGTTGACATGTGGTCTTGGAAGCCATATGGCCAAGGTCTTATCTTTGAGCTTGATGATGTCAGAGGCGGAGGAGCAGTAGCCTGAGTGTCGTTTGGCAACCTGTCACAAACTGAACAAGCAAATATACCCTTCGGACCCCTGGCACTCTTAATCAGGGTATTCGGAATACTGAATCTTTGGCTGAGCTCCCTGTAAACACACCTGAGATTCAAAAGCTTCCGTGAGACTCCACCTTAAGGAACTCATTAATAACTGAGAGGTGGAAAACTCAGCTCTTCAATCCACCCACTTCCCACCTCTCAGCATTAACATTTATTTTTTTTAAAGTGTTGGGTGACTCCTTGATGCTGCTTTTCCGAGAAGGATCTTGTGATGATCTGCCATGATCTCAGGGTGCTTCAGAATTTCTCCGTAGGAGC